TATTTAAAATGAAAAATCTGATGTTTTTGAACATAATTGTTATTATCCTTCAAAAATATTTGGTTGGGCGAAGGGGGAAAAGGCCGAATGATTGCAGCTTGTTGAAAATCTTCGTGCCTCGATAAGTGATCAATTTTTGTTCCTCCATTTTTCTAAAAAATGATTGTTATAATAAAATCATGATGGTAGTCACTCCCGAATATCCAATTCTTGAAGTAATATTGCGAATGAAACCTATTAATTGAACTTAGAACAAATTTTACAGCTCCTATATATACAGTTCAATTACAGTTCGAATTTATTTTTAGCTAAAAATATATTGTTTTCTTTAGCAAATAAAATTGTTCGCTAAAAATCCAAAGATAGTTGTAATTTGCTGCTCATTTGCACCGTTTTGTCTAAATTTAGGGCTAACTTGTTTGAAGTCAGCCATTAGATTGTTTTTTCTTTGAAGTCAGTATTAATATTTCAACCAAGACAACCTAAAGCAGATACATTGGTGCCATCAGCGAAGACGTAGATTTCTGTTTTTCGTATGCATTAGGCGAATCATGGATTTAAACTGAAAACGGTGAAGGCCGAATTCTAACCAAGACCTTTATTTTCAGGTGTAATTTTTTCTATAATTTTAACTAGTGCGTCTATGATAATATATTTTGTCCTGAATTAAAAGTGTTTGCCATAAAATAGTGAAAAACTTGCAAAGTAGTTATACATATGCGAATACATACAGCGTTCAATCAATTCTTTCCCCACAAGGAGTAAAGAGATAGGTCAAAAATTAGATTCAATCATTTAACTTCCATCATTCTTGCAAGGAAAAATTAAAGCATTCGCCAGAAGGAAAAACACGTTTAAAAGAAAGATCAACGATTTCAACCATTATGCTACCAATCATTCATTCCACTTGAAATTTTGACAAAAATAATACTGATGTCCTCTTTATATCTTTTTCTACGGCCGCTCTCGCTTCACATGGAAAGTTTTGGAAAATCAAGCCAATTTTCTCAAAATTGTTTTCTCCTATTTGGTTTAATTTCTGTTAGGAGTTAGGTTTGTTTTACAGTCCTTCATTTTCAATGGTGCAAATAAATGATCTGCAAGAATGAAGTTTGCTTGTAAAGACTGAAAGCTTCATCTGCATGAGGGGCAGGCGACAAACTTACAGATTTGAGGTGTTGTATTAGTGTAAATTGAAACTTTTGGGTTTACTATCTTTTTTTTTCTCTTTTTCAAATTGCGCAACACAAATAGGTTACTCATATGCAAATAAAGGTCGAAATAAACTGTGATGTAGGCTGCTGTTTTTCGCATGTATTAGGTGAATCATGGATTTCAAGTTCAAACGGCGAAGGCCGAATCCTAAGCAAGACCTTTATTTTAAGGTCTAATTTTTCTGTAATTTTAACTAGAGCGTCTATGATAATGTTTTGTCCTGAACTCAAGCTGTTTGCTATAAAATAGTGAAAAACTTTCAAAGTAGTTATACATAGGCGAATACTTACAGCGTTCAATCAATTCTTTTCCGACAAGGCGTAAAGAGATAGATCAATATTTATATTCAATCCTTGTACCTCCATCATTTATTCAAGGGTAAATTTAAGCTTTCGCCAGAAGGAAAAACACGTTTTAAAAAAAGATTAATGATTTCGACCATTATACGAACAGTCATTCCACTTGAAGTTTTGACAAAAAATGCTGATGTCCTTTTATATCTCTTTCTGTTGCCGCTCTCGCAGTTTTGAATTTTTCTAGAGAATTTTTTTTCAGCGATTTTTTTTCCAATTCTATCTTCACTTTCTTGCTGCACGGAGATATTTTATTCGTTTTGTAAACTTTTTAGGAATTAAGTTTGCTTCACTATTCACTCTTTTTAATGGTCCGAATAAATTGACTGCATGATTAAATTTGGCATGTAAACACCAAAAGCATAATCCGCATCAGGGACGGGCGACAAACTTACGGGTTTGAGGTGTTGTAAGAGTATAAATAAAATTTTTGGGTTTACTCTTTTTTCTCTCTTTCAATTTGCGCAACACAAATAGAAATAGGTTGCTCATATGCATTTGAAGCTTGAAATAAACTGTGACTTTATCGGCTGCAGAGTTTTTCACATGAAAAGTTATGGAAAATCAAGCCTATTTTCTCACATTGGTTTTTTCTTTTATTTGGTTTTGTTTTTGTTGGAAGATAGGTTTGTTTTACAGTCCTTCATTTTCAATGGTGCAAATAAATGATCTGCATGATTGCTTTTGATGGCCGGTAAAGACTGAAAGCATCATCTGCATGAGGGGCAGGCGACAAACTTACAGATTTGAGTTGTTATAAGAGGATAAATAAAATTTATAGTACTCTTTTTTCTCTCTTTCAAATTGCGCAACACAAATAGGTTGCTCATATGCAATTAAAGGTGGAAAAAAACTGACTTCATCGCCTGCAGTTTTGTTCACATGAAGTATTTAGGAAATTCATGCAAGTTTTCGCAGAATTGTTTTGTTTCCTAATTTGTTTATCCTCTGTTAGGAGTTAGGTTTGTTTTACTGTTCACCCTCTTCAATGGTGCCAATAATTGGACTGCATGAATGAATTTGGCTTGTAAAGATTAAAAGCATCATCTGCATTAGGGACAAGCGACAAACTTACGGATTTTTGGTGTTGTAAAAGTATAAAAACTTTTCGCTTTTGTCTTTTTTCGGACTGTTCTGTACTACTTGCACAGCGACGGTATGCACTGGCTGCTTTTTCCCCCTATTTTAGGCGAGTTTTTAGTTATAATTGCTAAGTTTTTTCCGATATAGCAGTAAAAGAGGCCAGTCACAGCTGAAAATCCTTCTGAGATCTAGAAACTTTTCTTAGAAGGCAGTGAGTTTTGCACAATTTATATGTCAGCTTGAATCGTGTCTTCTAAGAAAAACGCATGTTTCATAGCAAGTTTTTGTCTGGGTTAAAATCAGCCGTTACATGGGGTGTAGAAAGCTCAGATGGAGCAGTTGGTAATGGCTTGTAGATTGACTAGTAGCTACTGGTTCAAATACTGTATTCGGCTGTTTTTTTTGTTTTCGTGGCTTACTTTTTCCCTCACTATTCAAATTTTATGTTTTTTAAGTTGTTTTTATGGTTAGATTTAAGCCCATTTTTTTGCTTTTGCATTTTAGAGCTCTTTTTGTCCTTTGTTTTAAATGCAGCTTCACCTGTATGTCCAAGTTTTTCTACTTGTTTTTTATCACTGAAATTCAGGCACCACAATGATCACTAAGTGCGGTGGCATATTAGCGTTGTCTCATATTTACCCTTGCGATAAGCAAGGGTATTTCAGTCGGGTAAACATTCTTTCCCGTAAACATTTTTGTCCACAGCTTTCAGTATACATGCATGCAGTATGTGCTTATTTTGTTACTCCCACTGTGCATCCCTTTTAGTGTTTTTCAATTAAAACCGCCGTTCAAATATTTTGAATGAATTTTTTTGATATTTTTTGAATTTTCGACTTCGTCGCTCTCCGTTTCCTTTTTTTCGGCTTAGTATTCCGCTTAGTCGTCCGCTTTCAGCTTCCGGTTTTTACCATCCGGCTTAGTTTCCGGTTTTTACTATCCAACTAAATCGCTCATTTGAGTTTCAGTTTTTAGACTTTAATGTTGCTTTTAGTGTTCTGCTTTACCCTCTGCTGTTAGTTTGTAGTTTTTTTAACATTGACGTCGTATATATATCTTTTTGCTTAAAAACATTATTTTGCTCAAATGAGTTCGACCTATTTTTAATCGGCTTAGTGACCTAGTTTTCAGTTGTTTCAACAGAATTATATTTTTTATGCTCAACTCTGGATCTTAATAGAAATTTAGGTCAAGTTTTTCCTGACAGCAATTATTTTTCGGCTTTTTTTGTTTGTTTTTTCTTTTCTTGACTTGATAGATTTAGGCCTGTATTATATCGGCTTATTGGCCTCATTTTGCGTCTTTCAATGAGCGAAAAGAGTTTGTGTGACGTGTTCGTGTTTTGAGGGCGAGGGGGGCTGAATAACTTCATATTAGTCCTTACTTTTTTGATTTTTTTTGGCTTTTTTATCTTTTTTTTATGTTTAATAGGTTTCGGGCTATGATATATCGGCTTAGTTGTCTCAGATTCTTTCATTTGACGAGCAAATAAATTTTTTTGAAAGTTCTGAGGGCGAGGGTGACTTATTAACTTTTCATAAGTCTTAAGTCTTGTTGATTTTTTTTTCGGCTTAAAAGTATTCTGCCAAGATATTTTCAGCTTTGTTACCGCTTGGTAAATTATCTTCCGATGCTTATTTCACATTCTATTGTATCAGAATGTTTTTGTTTCAAAATTAGTTTAATTCATTATGATAGATCTAGTTTTTTTTGTTGACATTTTCGATTTTTTCCGATTTTTTTCTTGTGTTGTGTCGCAAGTGGTGCGAAGCTCTGCTTCGCTTTTGTGCAAAGCTTTTTATTAATGATTGAATTTCCAATCTTATATTCCAACAAAACTTTAAAGGTGGTCTGAATATTCCCGCTTCAGGCTTATTTAACGCTTGAGCTGCTGTTACTCATGTAAGCTATAATTACCTATTTTTGGCAGATATTTCGCAAAACAACCCTCGACCCAACACAAACTAGAAAAATTACTTTGTTTTGCGTTCTTGAATCCACAGTTTGTTGTTTGTTTTTCATTTATAGTTTAATATTTTTCGACACTTTTCTCAGTCAAGTTTTCGTTTGGTTGATTGCACCATTCTTCTGATTTTACGATTTGAAATACATCAAAATTGTAATTAAATAGTTAAAATCGGATTGCTTGAAAGTTACTCAACGGTAAAATATACCTATATTTGGAATAATTTAGAGATTGTTTTCATACCAAACTCGTTGAGTCGACCATTCTACATCGCCTGTGAGTGTGTAAAAGTTTTTACGTTGGCTTATGAGCTCAAATCCGCAGCACTCGAGTTTTGTTGCTTTGTATAGATTTAATTAAAAGCTCTACCTGAGATTCAAATTACCGACGCACAAGGTGTTATCATGTAAAACCGTCAAACTTGGTGAAAAACATTCAATAAAAAGTAAAACGTTGTGCATATATTTTTTAAGTTGGTTTTTGACTTGCGCGGTATCGTGGTTTTTAACTAATTTGAGACGGTCTGTGAAAATTAATAAAACAGCAGTGACCGAAGACTGAAATGTAAGAAGTGCGATGCGAGATTCTGACTATGAGATTACCAGAAACGTAAAATGTTACTGAACTGTCGCCGCATATTTTTTACATGGGTTACTTTACTATATTCTTCAATTGGACTTGCTGAAGCAGCATGTAAGTTATGACTTTCCTTGTTCCTCTTTCGAGGAAATGTTTTGAACTTTTTAGTTGGCCTTTTTCCTTTGATTAAAAAAATTCTTTGGTATCCCCAGGTATATTGATTTCTTGAATTTTTGCGAGGTTTTAATTAAAATTTTTTTGCGATTGAACTATCGATGTTCGGGTTTCATTTCATTGCTGCTTTGCTTTCAAAACTTCATTTCCGATTAAAAGTTTTTTATGACTGCATGTTTTCAGTGCTATTGAAAAAATGAATTCTTATTTATTCAGGTGATTTTTTGTCCTTTTTTCTCAGAGTTTTTTTTTCACGAAATAAACTTTTTCACATTCTTTTTTTGTTTTGATTGCGTGAGTTTCAATATCTACAGCTCACTTGTACACGCCCTCTAGTTATACAGAAGGAAAAAAGTCAAAAAGAAGGAAGTTCAGCTTCAAAAATTATGTTAGTTTTTAGAATTACCAGCAGTATTCCGATAAATGGATCCTGTCTCTCAAATTGTGTTGCTTTGATTCATAACGTTCTATTGCAAAAATTAAATCGAAGTCTTTTAGTTTCACAGTTTTGTGACTTAAGCTACTATAATCGGTTTGTACAAAAAAAACGGTTTTTTGGTGTCTCTGTTCATTAACAATTATCCGATTTTCTGTAGGCTGTTTTTTATTTTTTACAAAGTTTTTTTTACCATCACTCTGTTCTTAGCTTTTTTATGCGCCCCATTTCGACTAATTCTACAAATCTCCTAGAAGGTTGTGGGTAGTTACAAAAGTAAAGCTTGTAAAGCTGATTGTATGAACTCTCTTTTTTGCTAAGGATATTAGCACAGACTATTATATTACAAAGATCACTTTAGCTTCAAGGTCATTTGGATCTGTAGCGTAGAGGTAGGGATCGAAACACGCAACAAAATAAGAGTCGGATGTTCTGAATGAACTTTTTCGTATACTAGTTAAAATGCGTCCGCTCTATGAATTGAGGCATGCTAGTTGGTTGATTTCTCTTTTTTTTTCCATTTGACGGGTACTGCTAATGCGTCATAACTGGCTTGTGTCACTTAGCAATTATGTAGACTCATAATTGGCGTGCGTCACTTAAGAAATTTTGTAGGCTCAAAGTTTTACTCATTCAGTTTTTCTCAGTAGCGTTATCGGTTATATTTTTGTTTGTGTATGCGAAGTGCAACTTCGCCCTTGTGTATCATATTGTAGTCCTATTGGTCGTGATTCGACTTCAGAAAAAAATCTTTAAGTCGTTCATTGTCGAGAAGACTGCTTCTTTTTTCAAGTAAATTAAACGGAGATTAATTTCCGCGCAAGTTTTTTACTGTGAAAAAATCACTTTTTGTCAATTTTTTATTTAGCATTTGATCTTCTCAACTCAGATGTGTTCAGATGATTAATCAAAATTTGTGTTCAGATAATTATTGGTCGGTAAGAAAACTTAACTCTAAAAAGTGTTTTAGCAGTAATAAGAGTAAATGTTTTTTTTTGCGCTGTCTGTTCAAAATTACTGTGAAACTGTTTTTTTTCCTGTTCTTGGATAATTACTCCGTTGTTTTGAATGCCAATATAAGGGAAGTTAAATCGGACATTATAAGAAAAAAAATTATCGGTTCGTATAAACTCGCTTAGACATTTAGGCGGTTTGAAGTAAGATTTAAAACAATATTGAAACAAAGCGGTCCTTTCTTGGCTATTATATATCTTATTTGGGTTTTCGTCGAATTGAGAAGTGATGCAACCACACATAAAATGATTAAGAAAAAAAATTGGATATTTTCAAATCGCCATTTTTAAAGGACATATTTTGTGAAAATTGCTCATGACTAATAAATTTATTTTTTGGTCTATCATTGCAATTAAGGCGTATTTCTGTGATTTAAAAAAGTTTTATCCTTATTTGGAATTTATTTTCCCCTTTGCCGTGTTTTTTTATCTTGATTTTCAAACTGTTAACTGTAAAAAAATTTTTTGTTATGAAACTGTTTAATGGCAGTTTCATAACATAAAATTTAGTTGAAAGATTGATCAATATCAAAACAAATGTTGTCTTCAACCACTCGCGGGATATTTTTCTTTTATCACAATTTCGTTTTTGTGGTCAAAGCTATCAATGATTCTTTAAAGGTCAAAGCTATCAGAGATTCTTGAAAAAATTTCTTAAGCTTCAAGAGGTTTCTCACATTCTTTTCAAACGGCTGTTTTCCGTAACTTACAGCCATTTTTACGTTTGATCAACGAGTTGTCACCAAAAAAAATACTTATGAGTTTTAAAACATTGATTTTTTTTTCTGATTTTCTTTGAGGTTTCAGCTGATGCAGATATTGAGATTTGTTTGTTTTTATTCACTGAATAAAATTTTTATCAACATAGTAAACTGAGATATTGTGATTGGTTTTTAGAACTCCCAGATTTTTGCATAAAATATATACATAGCTTGTTCGTGAACTTGTAATGGTTTGTAATAGTCTGGAAGTTTGTGATCGTTTTGTATCGTAAGGGATACGAAACGATCTCCTAAGTTTTCTATTGTAAATATCATCATCTAGTTTGTTTCGCAAGGACCTGTAGGTCAACCCAAAAGTCGAACACTGTCGCTCTAAGCGACACTATTGGAACATTTTGTTGTTTCTCATTTTGTTTTAAACATGTTTTTTATTCTCTGTTTTGAACTGTTTTATTTTGAAGGTTTAAGTTCAGAGTCTCGTTGCCTGTCAGTGTTTAATTTTATGGTTTGTTTTTTGTTAAGATTTTTATTTTGTTTATAACCGTAAGCACTTAGGGTGTTTAGGCACTTTTTGAGTAAAGTTTAAGTTATTTGCTAAAATGTAGCCTAACTGAGCTCTCCAATTACGAAAGTGAAAATGACGCAAAAAAGAAAACGGCGCATTTTTTTTTCTAAAATAGGTTTTATTTTCTAGATTTCCCTGCGGAATACAAATTTTACCCATTAGTCTAATTTTTCTAGATTGGGTTAATTTTCTCAAAAAATTCTGGTGAAATTCAAAGAGCTTTAACCTGATATATTTTTTTCTTCGAAATCCGAAACTTGGAAATGTTCAAAATTTTTCAATAAATTGTTTCGCTGTCTTTGTTTTTTAAAAGATTTCGAACCTTCTGTTGGCAATGTTTTTTCTTCCGTTTTTAAAGTTGTTGTTGCCGTTTTTTGTGGAGAAAAGCTTCTATTCAAGGCATCCGTTTTTGAGCTACTGCTAGGTAGTTTTCGATGATTTAGTTCGGTCTTTACGTCGCCTGGCAAAAAAAACTACATTTCGTTTTAGTACTATGGTAATCCTTTTCAGAATTTTTTGTGCCACTTGCATGGAAGTCAGTTTTTATTCCCTAAATTGTGTTAATAAACGCGCAATTTTGTGCTATTAAACCGTCAGCGGCAGTTTAATCTGTGTCAGAAATCCTTCCTGAATTGAGGCAATCGATTTGGTCTTATGAAAACCGTACAATACGCCAAACATCACTTTTGATTTTGCATAGCATAAGGGTTTTTTTTTAAATAAAAAGTCTTTAGAAAAATTCAAAATTTTCAATTGCTGCAAGCTTTTTAAATTTTCTAAAATATAAAAGTTTCGTAGACATTAATGGATAGTCGGAGCATTCAGGGCCTGGCCTTGATACGATCAGTTTTGTTCCATTTTGAGTTAGAAAACAACGGCATTCCAAACCATAACGTATTTTATCTGGTTTTCTCAAACTGAATATTTCTTTTTCTAGAAAGTAGTTCTGAATTTTTTAAAATCAGTTGTAAAAATGTCTGGTTCTTTCTGATAATTTGGGTTCTTTCATAAGTAAGCGCATCAAGGTACTTAAATAATTTTTTACTCTACAGGAGTTCCGAAATTATATTATAAGAGCAAAAACACACTTAGAACAAAAGTAGCCGGTTCCTGTGCAAGTGGCACTTGAAATTCCGACAACGCTCGTAAAAAATTTAAAATAAACAAAAAAGACAAATTCTTGGAAATTTTGTGATTTAGTCATCATCGACGACAGTTTTCCTCAAAAAATAAATACCATATAATGAACAGCAAAAAATAAATAAATGCTTTTCATTAGTGTTCTTGCAGATGGCAATGTTTTTTCTTCCGTTTTTAAAGTTGTTGTTGCCGTTTTTTGTGGAGAAAAGCTTCTATTCAAGGCATCCGTTTTTGAGCTACTGCTAGGTAGTTTTCGATGATTTAGTTCGGTCTTTACGTCGCCTGGCAAAAAAAAAACTACATTTCGTTTTAGTACTATGGTAATCCTTTTCAGAATTTTTTGTGCCACTTGCATGGAAGTCAGTTTTTATTCCCTAAATTGTGTTAATAAACGCGCAATTTTGTGCTATTAAACCGTCAGCGGCAGTTTAATCTGTGTCAGAAATCCTTCCTGAATTGAGGCAATCGATTTGGTCTTATGAAAACCGTACAATACGCCAAACATCACTTTTGATTTTGCATAGCATAAGGGTTTTTTTTTTAATAAAAAATTTTAAAAAAATTCAAAATTTTCAATTGCTGCAAGCTTTTTAAATTTTCTAAAAGATAAAAGTTTCGTAGACATTAATGGATAGTCGGAGCATTCAGGGCCTGGCCTTGATACGATCAGTTTTGTTCCATTTTGAGTTAGAAAACAACGGCATTCCAAACCATAACGTATTTTATCTGGTTTTCTCAAACTGAAAATTTCTTTTTCTAGAAAGTAGTTCTGAATTTTTTAAAATCAGTTGTAAAAATGTCTGGTTCTTTCTGATAATTTGGGTTCTTTCATAAGTAAGTGCATCAAGGTACTTAAATAATTTTTTACTCTACAGGAGTTCCGAAATTGTATTATAAGAGCAAAAACACACTTAGAACAAAAGTAGCCGGTTCGTGTGCAAGTGGCACTTGAAATTCCGACAACGCTCGTAAAAAATTTAAAATAAACAAAAAAGACAAGTTCTTGGAAATTTTGTGATTTAGTCATCATCGACGACAGTTTTCCTCAAAAAATAAATACCATATAATGAAAAGCAAAAAATAAATAAATGCTTTTCATTAGTGTTCTTGCAGATTTTTTGATTCGTTAAGTGAAGTTTTGATCCTTCTTTGCGAAAGACAATGTTTTGCTCGGCCTTATTAACTGATCTAACCCACGTAACTCGCTCAAATTTAAATTAAAAAACAAAAATTTCAACCCAATTTTTTTCAACTTTTAGTAAATTCTTTTTCAAATTTTTAGTTGTTCGAATCACGACATGTTGCTCGTATCATGCTTTAAAACGATATAACGTTCTATCCATTTTGATGATTATTTAGGGTGTCTGCTTGCGTGGAAAAAAAAACTAAAAAACCCGAAAACTAATTTCCTTCCTTTCTTGCTTTTTATGCCTAGATATTTATTGATAATATGATCCTCAAATTAAATTGGGTTTTCTGAGGCTCGAATAAAACTGTATCAGAAAATTGAACTTGGAAAGTTGCGTCTTAGCTAACAACAAAGTGATTTGGTCTTTTAACACTCCATTGCTCGTGTGAAAATCGAAATTCTTGTAATTTGAATGTTTATTGAATCATTAAACACCATTTTCTTGATAATAAAATTAATATGGTATTCAGCGATTCAATAAATACTTTCAAATTTAAAGAATCGATTTTCACCCAAGCCTCAAAATCGTAATTATCATCTGTGTTCAATTTTCTTATGCAGTTTAGTTTCGATTTCAAATAGCACTAACTATATCCGCTTAAAGATTCGAGAAACCTCAAAACGGAACCGTCTTCTCATACTCACATATGTGATCGCTAAGGGGTTCGTATCAATATTAATACTCATTTCCGGCAACTTGTAAGTTTATCTTAATTTATTTTTCGTTATGTTTGATCCATTTAGTCATTCCATTCTAACTCAAAATTAATCATTGAACATAAACAAAACATCCGAAAAATTGATTTTTGTGCAAGCACACTGAAAATCTAAAGCACACTTTCCACTGCAAAAATTGATAAAAGTGATAGTTGAACTATTGATAAAAAAATAGTGTTTTTCCCCGTTTTCTGCTGCTAGCCTTTTGCGGAAAGATAACGGCATTCTTTGTTATTCGGCTTGTAAGCACCTGCAAACAAACTGTTGAAAAATTCAAAATATTGTGTATTCGGAACTGTCTGTGCTACAAGCACCGTAATTCATTGCCCTTGCTTGCTCAAATCATTTGTTTTTCTGCAGGGTCCGAGGCGTTGCTTTTGGACTATGACTCTGCCACATTTTACTTGGGATACTCCGACAATAGTGCTCCCCTGTCTACTCTGGTGTCAGTGTCGAAGCAGGGCTTAACTGCATCTCTCAGTTTCACTCTGACAAATGCATTGAGTGACGATGGGATTCTCACGTGCTATGTTAGTAATAAGTAATAATAACCTCATGAACGTGGACGCCGAAAAAGTTTGAATTAATCATTTTATCGGTTGATTTTCAACAAGCAGTGGTCAAGCACAGACATAAATTCGAATTCAATCATTCAAATTAAAAGTCTCACTAATTATAAAAAAAAGTCTTATTAAGTGATGACATAAAGTTTGCAACTTAAAAAAACCCAAAAGTATAATATCCATGTTTTAGTCTAACCATAAAGTGTGTGAGGCGCAAGTGTCAGCTTTGTTAGACGCCCCTAAAGAGTTCTGGACGGGAGAAGTCACAGTTGGTTTCAAAATTAATTCCGGGGATCTGGATCAAATAGCAAATTATGGTTTGTTCATACTGTTTTCTTGCAAGAAAAGTTTGACTTAGTTTCTATTAGAGGATTAATAATATTGTTCCGCCTTTCGTAAAGAAACTAACGGAATATTTGAGGTCGGGGTGGGTTTTTTTTTTCTTCAGACAAAATTCGACTTTTTAACTAGCCATTTTTGATGAAACTTTTTTTTATCATTCGAAAGGTATTGTTGTCCTGAGTTCAAATTTGAAAAGATATTTCACCTGTGATTAATTTTCGTAAAGATACGGGGGTTTAAAGATTGCCATTTTGGCCAATTTGGGACAATTAACGCGCGATATATTTCGCGCTATTAACGCGTAAGCGGAGAGGTAATCCGTCTTAGAAATCGTTCCAAATTGGTTGAAGGAAGCTTATTTGTCATAATTGATTTGTTACTAGAGGCGAAATCTATCACTTTGTATTTTATATGGCGTGTGGGGGATGATTTTCACAAAAAAATCGCAAATTAAAAAAAAAGTTTCATTTTTTACATTTAATTTTTTCATGTTACTACTGCTCCATAGGCCTTGAAAGGCAGTTGGATCATTCAGGGCTTCGCATTGATACGAACGGACTTGTTTTTATTTGGTATCATATTTGCTATCGCATTGTTTTCTGAAGTGTATTATTGATTAGCGATTCAATGAATACGACTAGTGAAGTGTGTGAAGGTGTTTAATCATCAGAATGCGAAGTAGGCGTCATTCTTACATTTTTTGAGAAATATAAGTGGCCATTTCGTTCTTATAGATAGTTTGCTTAAAACGCTTGCTTCTATTGTGCGGTTGAAATAATGAAAAGTTAATACTTCAAAAATCAAAGTAATTTCAACAATGTTTTTTCTTCGAAAATATAAATACACATGAAATTAGAACACGCATAACTGATTTCACGTGAAAATAGAACACGCTAAATTATTGCCGGTCGTCTCTTCTATCCATTTCAGTTGCGAATTCAAGAAGTTTTTCTTAAATTATCAAGCTTCAGATTCTGTGTAATACATAAATTTGTTTCAGTCGGCCGAAACATCCTCTGGCCGAGGACCTCAATTACATCTAGTGCATCGCTCACCAGTTTCACCTCTATGGTCCCAACATTTAGAGGAATCGACCGGGAAAATTTTGGCTACACTAGCGTTCCAACAGGAGGTTTGTATTGAAAGCATGTGTTGGTTCGCTATGATATCTGCAATCATAAGTTTTCAAAAATTACTCCCAGGGTTGAGAAAAACCGGTTGAAATTGTCCTAGAGTCGTAACATAATCGAATTCGGTTGATACGGTCTAAACATATTGAGCTTCGGTCGAGACGAGGTTGTCGAAGCATAAACACTTCGACCCGGGTTTATTATCACCAATAACTGATCAAACGACTCATATTGGTCTAGTAAATAGGCACACAATTATTTTGCAAACGGCAAAGACGAATGTCATTGGAACTTTCTTTGCTACATAATTTTTATGAGATTGAAACCATGAACGATAACGATTTATCAAATCCCCGCAAAATACCAAAAATACTATTAACCATTAACATCTCCTGGATTAGACAAGAACATGTGTTTTCTGCTCACTTTTATTCCGAAGTTGTTTGACCCTATCCTAGCTGCCTAGTTGACCCTATCCTAGCTGCCTAGTTCTGATACAAAATTATATCATGTCTTTTTTCGCTTTTGCAAGCAACTGCAGCTCCGGGAGTTTTTTTTCGCTTAAAAGTTAAAAGATAAAAGAAGTTTTTTTTGCTCAATTTTGAAATCAACGTGAACATTTCAGACATCCGGTCATATCAAGTGGTTTCAACAAAATCGACTCTTTTTAAGGCTCTTATCGAGTCCTCGCCTTTAAGGCTTGATCGTTCCGTTTTTGTTCAGCTGGTTTTGTATTTGTCTTTACGCATGCGATTAAAAAGCGTTATGAAATCAGAATAGATACATTTTTAGGTTAACCACTAGTTCAAGAAAATTAGTTGAATTATCCAACTCAACTCCTCGGTTCGTATTAAATCATACTCAAGTCCGCACATGTGACGTGGTAACGCACATGCCTGCTAAGGCAATTTCATGGTTTGAATCAGGACACGACCTGTTTTTTTTGCAAACGGAAATTTTCAGCCTGACAAAAATCTTTGTCAGATTTTTGCTTGTCTGCTTTTTGTCGGCTGAGTTGCCACAGCTTGGAGCTCGCCTATGATTTAATTTTTTTTACAATAATAGAAAATGTTATTAATGTTTCCTTGGCAAGTGCAAGTACTTGCATTCCAAAAATTTTTGCTACGAATGTTATAGATATTTTTTTCTTCAATAGATAGCGCTTTCTGAAAACAGTTTTGAAATTTTTATTTTTTCTGGTTGCTTTTATTTCTAAAAAAAATTACATATATGCCAGTACTATGGAATAAAAAATAAATTTCCGAATTTCCCCATAAGGGTTGGAGAATAGTATATAATATCTTCTTTTGTAATGTTCTTGGTTTTTTGGGAAAGTATGCAATATGTCGCTGTTTCTTTCTGGAAATTTTCTGCGCTGAAATTGTGGTGCATATTTTTGTATCGCAAGTGATGCGAAGCTTCGCTTCGCCTCGGTGTTCCTTGATGATATTTTCACTTGAATGTATTACCAAGATACTGAGTTTGACTGAATTTTCCCGATGTACTGTTCCGTAATTGTTACAGTTCATTACGTATAGATCTCTTAACATATAATTCTTCAACGGTGCGATAATGTATCGTTGTAGTTTTTGCGCGCTGTGACATCCCTTCATGATGTCATTCATTCTAATTAACCATCTGAACCGAATAGATTACATAATTCACCTTGATGTTAAAATAGAGCTGCATCATATATTTATTTAACTATGTAAACATTGATGGTAATTAATACCAATCAGAGGAGAGTTATACCGAGCTACGAATCAATTGAATAGAAATCAACTTAATAAACTATTCCAATCATGCTCTTACTTGCGCCGATCGACTTGCGGAATATCAGAAGCTAGGAATCGGAACCAGCATCCTTTAAAGCAAGATAGGTCTTTACCGCTCGAGACATATCTAAATAATGAATCCAATCATCTAAATATAATTGATAGCCAGTAGTGCTAAATAACATTACCAATTGAACAGCTCGCATAACAGTAGACGACAGTATACCCGTATTATCCATCCGCCAGATACGGTATATTATATGGTGACGTTCGCGGGAATTTCAACTTCTGGATTCAAAACAGTCATCGGCGATTCCAAACATCATAATTTGAGCAGAAAGTGACAACAACAACTTTGCTGAAGCAGAACGAAAAAAAAAAATAAAAACATCTTGATCAGCACAGCAATGCTCAGATGTTGGCAGCAGAGCAAAACTCAGTGAACAACTGACAGACAGGGAGAAAAAAGAAGACAACCACAACTTTTCAACATCTCCTGAGCTGACAACTTTTTCCAATCTACAAGCAGACATGTGGATTGTGACCTACAGCTTCTCTACTTCTGTCAGATGGTATGTCAAGTGAGCTACTGAAGAGGCAGAAAAGGAAGTAGATGAAAGGTTTCCAACGTCAAAACAGTTAGTTAAAAACAAACTCAAAACTCACTTGCAGTAAATTGATATTGTAACTAATAAGTTCCCCAACCAAAAAAAGCGAAGTAACGGAAATATTAGCAAACCCTGATGGAAAGAATAACTAAAATCAGAATAGCAATAGATGCATAAAGGTTCAATAATCCAAAATAAGGGAAGTCTAGCAAAATTTTCTTGTGCCCCCCTTAAATCGACTAAGTGCTGTGCTCAATCATTAACTGTATCACAAATCTGATAATCATTCAACTGTAATAAGATGGCACACGCGCAAATTTCGGTCGCACCATACGGTGGAACCGACAAAGAAGACTTCCAGCAATTCGAGCAATTGTTCCGAGGATACATCGGAGTTGCGGGAATCGCTCCTGGTCAGCAAGCGAACTTCTTGCAACTACACCTACGAGAAGCGGCACTACGATTCTACCAAACGCTGCCAGCAGCAATTCGAGCGAACGTCGAGAATAGTCTTGGCGCCCTAAGGGATCATTTCTGCAATCCCCAGCTTCAAGAAATCCATGTACTGAAATTAGAACAGCTACGTTACGATCCTAAAATCGATTCACCCGAGAACTTCTTGGTGAACTTGACAAATAAAGCGCAACGAGCGTACCCAACCCCAGATTTGCCAGCTGTCGACCCAATCGATGTTGCATTAAACGGAGCACCATTAGTAGCAGACACAGCGCGATTTCACCGAGAAACTGCACAACGACAAGAAAGAATAGATGCAGTAAATGACAATCGCAATGAACAAATTAAACGATTGTTCATAAAAGGAATGCCAAACTGGCTGCGATCAAAATTGATGGAGCAACCACAAGCAACTACTGTCCAAGAATTGTGTAATTTGACGAAGAAGCAGATCATGATCCGAGAAGTTTGCCGAAACGAAGACTACCCGGAAGACGGATTTAATGAAGTAAACGACAGAGTCTCAGAAAATTTGATCAGTGCTCTCACAAAATTGTCCACAAATCAGGAACAAATTGAGAAGCAGATCAACGAAATGAGATCACAAATAACTGAGCAGTCAAAGAAACAATTGAATCCGCCTTCTCATCAAAACAAGAACAACGCAAACCAAAACAGTCAGTGCAGTGGTAACCAAAACCAAAATAATTGGCCTGGACAGCAGCAAAGTGGCAGGAAAGGAAAAAACAGATCTAACTGGCAAAATCATTTTGGATTTAACAATAATCAGACTAATTTCCAAAATATGGGACCAATTGCACCTCAGCAATATCCACCATGGTATCAATACCAACAGTACCCAAATATGCAGCAAAATCAGTCGATGGTGCAGATTCAACCAGCACAGGTACAGCAAAACGCGAACTACCTGCAACCACAACAACATCAATTCAATGGAACTCAGACAGCGCAAGCTGACATTCAACTTCCATCTGGATCTTTCGAACCAATGGTTCGAGCATCAGCCAAATTCTGTGACATTTGTGGTAAATTCAACCATACGGCAAGCCAATGCTGGTGGAGACAAAAACCACAAGGACACGGTCAATCATTTCCGTTTCAGAATCAGCCAAAAAACTAATCAAGCCACTGAGTCAGTCCCCCAAATCATTTCAATCATCTAAATCATCAAAACCGTCAATTCCACCTGATGAGATAATCAACCTTTACGCAGTAATTCCTGCGGAAGGAACAGTTTTGACGTACACAAAATTACGATTCTCATCGGGATTACAAAGAAGAGCCCTGGTTGATACAGGAGCCTGCGCAAATGTCATCTCAAAACAGACATTTGACGACTTAAAAGATGAAAAATCTTTATACCGCCCTCTTAAAATAAGTGAATCAAAACTTATGAGAGTAAGAATGGCAGGAGGACAACTCGTGCCAACTGAAACAGAAGTAACACTGGAATTTAAATTGGCAGACATGACATTTGTAGAATCTTTTCTCGTTCTACATGCAGCCAACTCAATTATTCTAGGAAACCCTTTCTACAAAAAACACCACATTCATATCTGTGCCAAGTATATTTACTTCATTTCCCAGATTTGACTCTGCAAATCAACGAAATAAAACCTCCAAACGAGCCTAGAAGAATTAATCGAGTGAAAAAATTCCCGTTAATTCTAACAAAACGTCAAACAATAGCTCCGCATCAAACCATTCTGGTGGAATGTCATTTAAAGGACGCATGTCGGGACATGGCAAAAACAACCGGAATCGTAATGCCATCGAAAGAATTTGAAGAAAATTGCGAAATTGCATTCACTTCCTCAATTAGAGAAGTTCTGACAAATAACCTGCTATACATCACAGCCTTTAACATCACTGATCATCATGTTACATTGCCTTTCAAAACCGAAATTGGAAAATTTTCAATTCTGACTCTAACTGAAGCAGAAAATCTAATACCAATTGATGCAGAGATGCTTGCTTTTGCAAAAATGAATAATCCAGACGATATTGAAATGGGCATTAACGAGCTAATTCAGCAACATTGTGATAATCAGCAGTCTCAACAGCAACGTCAACCTGAGTATGAAAAATTTTGGTTTCCTACTCCTGAAACATGTCAAAACCCTGTATTACTTCCACAAATCC